AGGCCTCGAATCTGCTTCGACCTGACGGATGCAATGGACTCAACTTGAAAACCCTCTGGTGAACACATCTGGGCCCCTTGCGGATCCTCAATCTTGTAGAAGATGTAGTTCTTCTGACCTCGCGCTTCAGTACCGCACAGGGACAGGTACGCAAATGACTTCATTCAAAGGTTCCTGAGATGGCAACAATCCAACTCCCACTCTGGATGCCTCACAGGATTCTTTTAAGCAGATGGACTAAGTCTCCTCTGGTGGTTGCGTGCAGAACATGCACGAACTCTTCGATATGCTTTGAGGCCAAGTGCAGGTTGTCAATCAGGTCACTGGTGCTGAACTGGTTCTTGACTATCACCTGATACCTGGAAGAACGGTCCCCGTCAATGTGCAGCCTTCGTGCAACATAATGATGCGCGACGTGCAAAAGGATTTGAAAGGGCACAATGGCGCTGATTTCCGACGAACGAGGTACACTGGTCCTCAGAAAGGCATGGGCTTGAAAGTTGCGGAGAATCTGCAAAAGGGTGCCGTCAATGCCGTCCTTCGATGTTGGCCTTTCGCCAGCCAGGGCTGGTCCCATCCTGCTGCAGGAAGTATGCGACCTCAGACACCGTCGTCGTGATATAGAGCAGCCAGGCAGAACTCACCACTCGGAGCTAAGTCGTGGGCCACAAACTTTGAGTACGTCACGATCTGGGAAATGTCCGGATCCTTGCATCGGTGTATGCAGTTCACAGCTCATCAGATCCCAGGCCGATGGCATAAAACCAGGCGGGTGTCCTGCTGTTGAAGAGGCTCGAGCCTCGGTTGGATGAGTTTCAAAAGCTTCGAGAGCTCGAGAAGCACTGAAATTTCTCTAAGGCTTTTGCATGCCACGCAAGCGTTGGTCCACTTCCCGCGCAGCCATGCTGTTGGGATCCCTTCGTCTACGTCGCAGGAAACGACTTCCAGCTTGCTGTGAGCCAAGTTCCAATATGAAAGGCACACCTGCACCGTCGCCAGTCAACCCACCACTCCATCGGCATGTTTCTTCACAGCTTGGTGGCTGCGTCGCACGGCGTTTTTGACTGGATCTCGTCGCGTCAGCCAGTACCCCGTGGATGCTCACTGCTACAGTGAGCGAGAACCCATAATCTGAGACACACCGCGGCCTGCTGCTCGCTTGATTCACAGCCCGGTGTCATATCTCATCCCCACCCTCCAGCGATGTCCTCGCCAGCTGCACAGGGGTCCAAGACTGCTAAGCTGATACTGCGCCATGGTCTGCATACCTTTTCTGCGCTCTGCACTGGTAGATGCAGTGGAGGTCAGCTGAACCGTCTGCGAAACAGCCAACATCTACGACTCAGTCGTCTTCCTTGATGTTGCCGTGCGTGTCGATCCTGATTGAAGAGCCAGGCTCCGACACATCACAAAGCATTCGAAGAGTATATCCATCCAAAGCACGTGACGCGGCGTTGCTTATGCGCCAACATACAGTCGATGTTGCGAACTTGCGCCCAGTACTTGGTATACCTAAGCGACAAAGCTCGGGGGTGTTTCATGCTGTCTTCTGCACAAGCTGCTCTGCTGTCTCCAAGAATCCTGCAGTTTTCGGCATCGGACTTGAAATCCAAGCTCGGGCTTGCTAGTGCAAAGATAAGGTGCAAAGACGAGCCATCGTCTAAGGCCAACGGAACCCCAGGTAGTTGAAACTTACTAACAGTAGCTCGTTGCGGCGATTGAGCTGATTCAGCTTGGCCGCCGTTCCTTGACCTTGCGCTCAGCATCCTTGAAGTCGGCCGTGACCTGCATTTGCTTGCCGAGATTGCAGGCCAAACTGCACATGGGCAGGGCTGTCTCGCCAGTGAAGCTCTCGCCCGCCAAAATGCAGATGCAGACTGCTCTGGGAGCCCGACGAGACCCGAACCCCGAAGCCAGGCCTTTGCAGTCTGCCAGTCCAGATGACGCACCGGCGTCGCATCGAGGAGAGTACAAGCCTCGGCTGCCAACTTCTCACAGCCTTCACTCGTAGGGGCCAGGACCAGACCCAAGGAAAATGGAGCTTCGACAGCTTGTGAAGCATGCAGCACGAAATATAAAAGGAAGACTACGAGCGAAACGTAAGCCGGGAGAGATTAGTCGAGAGCACCCGCGAGGCATGCAGACTTTCCCACCTCCTGCGACAGAGCCGCTGATACGGAAAACTTCTCTGAAGCCATCTCGCACCAAACCCTGGCAAGAGCTGGTCACTGCAACAATGCATCCAGCGCACTCGAAAAGAAAGCCGAAGCCTGAAATCCCCGAAGCCTACGAAGCCATGCCTGCTGCATTTCCCTGCAGTTCCCTGCACCGCCTGTCGAGGCCCCATTCGGCACGATCGTGGATGCAGTCCTCAGTCTGGCCGAGAAGATTTCAGACCTCCACTGTGAGTTCAGGAAAGTGTGCCGAGTGCTACGAGTGGATTTGAGGAAGTTCTGCGCTGCTAACGGAGAACTTCGTTGCTTCCTTGGGGTGGGGGGGTAGATGGACTCAGCGGAATCTTGTGCAAGCAAGGCTCAACGCAGTCTTTCCTCAGGCGCGCGTCTGAATTCCAGGTCAAGCAGATGACACGCCGCCAGAATGCTACGATGCATCGGCACATGCCAAGTCGCAGAATTAAAGACAGAACCATGGAGGATAGCCTGTGGTCTGACAACTTCAACTTCACCGGGCACAAGTCGGCACAAGTGTCATGTATCTTCCAGAAACAAGAGACGAATCAAGACACTTATTCGTGCATTGCTTCTTGGGTGTGGAACACGCCCTAGAAGAAGCTCTCAGCTTTAGTTGTAAAAGCATGCCCAGCCACAAGGGCGCGGTCATCTCAACGAAATCAGTGTGCCGCATCATACAGCCTCGGATACGGAACCCTGAGACGGGGTTCACGGTTTTTCCCGATGCACTTCTGCATCCAAGCCGCGGGGGTCCGGCTTGCCTGTGGAAGTGCCCACGTGATGTTGGCAGTTCTGTAAGTACGCAAAACCCGATGCGATCCCAGTCTCCCAACACATTGATCTTCTGCCGGTCCACAAGATTGTCCGATCTGATCAGGGCCTGCGGAGGTGTTTTTGAAAGGATTGGGCTATGCTTGTATAGACATCTTGTCCTTCTGCCGCCCTGCCTTCCTGGACTCGACAGCATCGTCTACCATCAGGTCCGTCGCATAGGTCTTCCATGCCTCTCGCGAATCCACAGCTGAAAGGCTTGAAAGTCGGACTTAGGAATTCGACTCACAAGTTGTAGGATGCCCTGCCTGGTCTCCCGCAAAGGTAGGGCCGATGATCCTCGGATGACCGTGTCTCTGCACTGGAAAGCAAAGCGTTATCATTGGGTCTGCCTGGGGCTCTAGGCCTGGGACCTAAAGGACAACAGAGGCATCCGATCCGAGATGCAGGGATCCGGAGGAGCGTGCCAGCTGGAAGAGCTCCACAAGATTCACGTCCGTGAAATCGATATCGCTGTCCTCAGAGTTCGCCGAGATTCGTTGCACAGGACTGTTCCATCGTCGCTGAGGGCCGCTCCAGTGCCCAGACGAATTCGTACTTTTGAGTCCTCAGACACAGAGCGGCAGCTTCCTCTAATTTTGCACGTATGTTCCCTTGGGCACCCAAAAGCGGATAAGGCTCCACTGATCTTCCCTGTAGGCCTCCTGCAGGAACCTGAACTTGTAACCTGAGCTGCATGCGGATTTCAAGGCATGAGCCCGGGCGTGCGGCCACGGCGAGCATCCTTCGGGATAATTGGGTAGGCTGTGCAGTCAGGCCGCCAGGCTTTTGCAGACTTGACCTAACAGGCAACACTCCGTGGACTCACAGCAGCTCTCTCAAAAGGAACCGAGGCCAAGTCGTGACTTCGCTGGCATACCAGTTTTTGTCCCAATCCTGAGGTTCGGCAAGCCCCACTTAAAGGTCCGCACCAGGTCTGAAGTCTCAGTCGAAGAAAGGCTGTCAAAAGGAGCATGCCTTGGCTAATTGCACTGCCAAGAATCGTTTGGGCTTCCCTCGTAGTGCCTGAGGCAAAGATCCTTTGGAGCATCCTGGTATCGGTGAACACCTCTGGCTACCAAGGGGCGCGAGGATCACATCGCAGCACTGTCGACCTCCCATACGGCGAGCATACCTTAGATGTAGAGGCTCCATATCTGATATCTGAAATACTGGACGAGGCACCGTTGCCGCCAAGGTGCGCTACGTTTCGCATTACGGTCTCCTGACACTGGAGGTGCCGCAGCCAGAACGGTACTCCCTCGCTTCTCTGTCCCCAAGCCTGCGTTCGGGTGGCATTGTCAACGGCCCAGAATAGCCTCATCCGGATGCCGCTTGCATTCATCTTCAAGTTGGTTCCGGCAAGAAGCCGCAACACCGACTGGCTTATGCTGCAATTGCGTAGCAAGACCTTCAATGAATTGTCATTGAAGGCAAAGGCTGACCTTGTTGAAAGGGGAATCACCAAGGACTCTCCCCGGAATGCTGCATGACCCCAGATTTCACCTGGGGCTAGGCTCCTCGCTTGCTAAGTTGGCAGCAGAGGATAGGAAGGAAAATCACCAAACGCATTTGGTGTAAGGGATACAGAAGCCTGGCGCGGGATGAAGCTGAAACCGGTAGGAGCCGCAGACTCTTGAGCCCTGACCGCCCCAACACTCCAACCGACCTCACCAGACAATCATGTAGGAGTTGATGGCAGGAACCATCCTCGGCCTACCTAATGTAGGCTTGAGCCGATAAGTGGGCGGCGTGGCATTGAAGGACTTGAAGGCTCGCTCTGCTCTTTACGGAGATGGACTGCAGTCTTGGTCTCTCCTGGTCGTGAATTGGAGCATAGACATGTTTTGTATACCGCATGTACGAATGCTCAATGGCAGCATTTCTTGACCTCATGCTTCTGCACCTGAAACATCATGCCAGCACATGGCACTTACTCTGTGGCTCAGCGTCTTCGCATTGACTTGGCCTGCAGAGATACGAGGCATTGGCTGTCCTTTAGACGGAGAGCTGCGGCCGCTGGTTGAAGACTACCTGCGTCACGAGACTCGAGCTGTAACCCATATTTCAATCAGTGTCAACCGGACAAAGTAAACCTGCAAGTCACGGGATGCTTGTAGCAACCGATTCGCGAAAGTTCGTGACTGCCTCAGACATCGGATGCCCAGAACCAAAATGTCGAATAAGGCCGGTATTCGCGGTATTTCAAAGCAACACAAACACAAAACCTGCGTAGGGACGGTTTTGCAAGGTTTCTACATGGTTGTGCATGGCTGTACATGGGCACATGCCGCTGCATGTACTCCTGTCCTTCGCATGCTCACTACAAGGTGTTGACATGCACTGTTGCTATACTATACTGCTACACTTCGCTACAGTTAAAAACACCTTCTTGCACTATTCTTTGTGACTCTATGTTAGCATATTCAACGCTGCATTACGTTGCATGTGCTACTAGAAGTAGACGTATGCAATGGCTTACCGCAACAGAAGGTCTTGTAAAGTGATACTCGTGCATTGCTATGAGTAACTGCATTTATGAAGTGTCTGGCAGAATACACGGCGTTGTTTTGTGGACTTTAAGTTGCAGGTCGCGATAGTTTTGCGGTTTAGCTGAGACTGTTCTCAAGAGTTCCATTACTGCGACAGTGGTGGTTATTCTTGTAACAACCCTTTACAGTGGAACTCTCATCACGGCTATTCACATATTATGTCTGCAGTTCATGGCTGCATGGACATCCTTACTCACAGCCTAAATGGTGCTACTAGTGTTGCGACACGAAGACGATGGTGAACGTGATGGATGATAATGACGATGATGATGAAAACGATGATGATGATGATGATGCTGATGATGATGATGATGATGGTGATCATGATGATGATGATGATGATGACGAGAATGACGAAGGCGACGAGGATGATGATGATGATGATGATGACGACGACGATGATGGTGGTGATAATGATGCTGATGCTGTTGGTGATGACCATGATGGCACTGACTGCATGTTACGAATGCAGATGTGTGTCTGTGTGGTTGCTCGCGCAGTCTGCCTTATTGGTTTCATCTTGTGGCACAGTATCAAGCATAGATATTTCTAGACATATCTAGCATGACCTGACAGATAGATCAAGCATTGTGCGCCCTATCTACCTCTTTGCCAAATTCTGAATCAAATTCATTGTAGATGTGATGTTTTACTGCATGATGTTACAACAGCTGCACCTGCTTGTTCTGCAACGTGCTTTAGTTTGCACACACACCCTGCTGGGTCAGTCTCTGTAACCGGTGGTATCGAGACTTGACTGTCGTCAGGTCTTGACCCAAAATTGATTGATGATTCTCCCAGGTTACGGCTGGAAGATTGCGATTCTTACCTTTTTCTGGGCTTCGCTGTCCTCAACTTCCTTCCACTAGTGCTCATACTCTCAGCAAAGTTGACAACTCGGATGCCTTCCTGCGGATCACCCCGCGGGCGCGAAGGAGGGCTGCTCGGGCGTCTCCGACGAGTTGCTCTTCCTGAGCCGGGCGCCACGGGTGCCATTAAGACAAGTTTTAGGGCCAAGAGGAAGAACGAGATGGAGAGCGAGAGAGAGTACGGGCTCCTGCTTCTGCAAAACTGGCCGCACACGTTCATTTCTGCAGGACCATCTTCAACATGGTTGTTGTCCCCCAAAAACAACACTACTTGCAGTGATATATTCGTCATGGATAACATTGATGACGGGTACTGCGAAACCGTTAAACCTTGATTCCCCCATGCATCCTTCTGTGAACTCAATTGTATGGCTAATCTTACACCTGCCTTGGACAACGTCGCGTTTACCCTTGTTTTTTGTTGGCATGAGTAGCGTACTCAGTCTTATCCGGCACTATCCTGCAATTGTCTGATCAGGGCAGGGCAAAGCAATCTGGGGGCGAGGGCTAGAAGCGGAAAAATCTACACCTACACCTGCGTACACGTGAAGGCTTTCAGAGACACAAAGGGCGCCTGTCCAGTCCGCTCCAGGAGCACCTGAGCTCGAGAGCAGAAGTAAAGTGAGAACCGTAGGCCGTAGGCACGCAGAGCCTTGGGGGCCTTCTTTCTAGCGGTGGAAACTCTGTGAAGGTTTCGCATACCAGACAAGCTCGGCTTGGACACGCTTTGGGTTTGCTGCTCTGGCTCTTGCTGCTTGGGCAAGCGTCAATCAAGGGCAGTGACAGCCGTGTTGACTTTCCGACAACAGCTGCATCTTGCGCGTGCTGAGAATGCGCGCCTGTTTGAGCTAAGCCAGGGCAAAAGCGAATCACACCCGCTGATTCCAAGCAGGCTAGCGATTTGGTCATCTATGCCTTGCTGCAGCATGTTCTGAACGCACAAATTCAACGGCTCGAAATTGCAGGAATGCAATACGAGGTATCAAGAAGATACGCACGCGGCTACTCACACTAAATCGCACAGACCCTAGAGAAAACTAGTGCTTTCAAGGGGCCAGAGGGCTTTTGAGCTCTTGCAGAGATCCATAGAGGCTGCGAGGGCCGTTTGTGAGCACCACAGTTCCTGCCGCAGCAGCGGAGCTACGAAGAGAAAACAATGGATATTCAAGTAGCTGTGCGAGAACTGAGATCGACCAACATCAGCTAAAGGTTGTTGAATATGAGAGGGTCTTACTATGTCTTGCTTTCAACAATCGACCAGACCCGCCTCCTTTCAATTGCAGGGTTCCGAGCTCCTGACCGGTGACCTTCGAACCGTCCTTGCACGCGCACGGCAGGCGCACGGCAGGCGCACGGCAGGCGCACGGCTGGCGTCTAATTCCTTACGCACTGGCTTTGCCTCCATGTAAGCAGTGCTCTGTAGCTCGATCAGGACCAGCTCTTCCGGCTTGTCCTGCAGGCGAAGATGCGACGAGCAACCCCCCTGCATGCACTCCGAAAGCAAGCCTCGAATCGCAGCACCGCTGACTTCATGGCTGCGGCATCTACGAGCTCAGTCTCGAAATGATAAGCCGATATCTCTCTCTAGATATCTAGAGCAACCATGTCAGGAGGCTTCCATAGCTTGAAGCCTAATGCCAAGCATTGAACCCTGTGAGCCAGAGGTGTGGCAGGGGCAACATAGGCAGTTGCAGTCACTAGCATGTTTCTCTGCATTGCACCGCTCGCAGACGGCGAGCTTCTGCAGCTCTTCTAGAGGTTGTGGATGGTGCCGCAGATGGGATTCCGTGTCTCTGATTCCACTCTCTGTACGGACGAGCTGGATCATGGGTTTGGGTTCGGAGGTTTTCGGGCTGTTGCAGATGACTCGACCCATGTTTTGTCCGAAAGCATTCACAGTCCGGACTCTGAAATTGGACGTCAGAGCCGCAGGCTCAGTGCCTCTGCCTGCCATGCAGCACATCTACACGGATGGGCCAGAGATCAAGGAGCAACAACTTAGAGGTGAAGAGGTACCTGAGCACACAAGGATCATCCATTTGGAGCTTATGCACCTCAGCGGGCACAGGACGACTGTCTGTTGAATTAGAGACAGGAAACCGGCTGGGGCTTCGGCCGACTGCTTCGAGGCGATCCAGCCGCCGCTTGAGGCTTTCCAACTCCCTCTGCTGGTCAAGCACCGTCTTCTTGTAGTCATCGTGCTCCTGGCGACGCAGGACACAGGCCTGAAGACACCGATACCTAAGGCTTCTGCGGAAATGGCTCCTTCTGGAGATTCTGGAAGGCGAGAGTCAGCACCGCGATGAGGTCCTGCTTGCTTCAGGGAGATGTGCACGGCGCCAGGCAAAGGCGCCACGAAGGCTTCAGAGGGCGTTAGCTGCAGCCTACGATCGCACCCTTGACCCCCCGCCCCAGCCCCTTATCCGGTTGTGTGCCTGGCTGGCAACTGCTTTCGTGTTGTCCCCAACCGTCCGAACCTTGGAGTCGGCAGCTTGGGCAGCTTGCAACAAAGAGGATGCGAGAGAACCGAGCACCACACCAAGTTGGGGAACACTGCTTCCAGCTCTTGCGCGATGAATCCGAACTTCAGGTACCTGGCACTCGATCGTCACACCAGTCTGTACTAAAAAATTCTGATTTGGATTTGTGATGAAGTACCATCATGGTCTTTGGGCACTTGGCTTCCGGTCCCCGCTTCAGTTGGAAGGAGACTGGCCGCAGCTCGCCTCAGCAGTCGAGTCCTACTGCAACATCTGCGACCCCGTCTCCACAAATCCGTACTTCCGCCCTCTTGTGATTCGTCCCTTCTGACTGACTTCTGCCCAGGCTTCTGAAACTACTGGGCCAACACTTTGACCGACGTCTAAGGCTCGGACGCAGCAGCCACTTCACCTGCTCACCTTCGCTTAGCCTCAAGAGCAAGAATGCTTTCACGGATGCGATGTCGCCGCAGCTCGCGAGCGGATCCACGGCTGGGTAATGTACTTGTCAGCTGCCGGCTGCGCTCCCGAATCGGATTCCCATCCTCAGCCAGCCAATCCCTTCGTCGAAGCCCCTCCCTAGCATGAAGCACTGCACGTGAGAAAGAAAGCTAGGGCTACTGCGATCGCGCGCTCTGGTTGCGATGGTTTGGTATAGCGGCTGAATGTTGCGCTTGAGGCGTCTGTCCTAAGCAGGGCTTCACGGCCAGCTGATCGTGCCATCTACTCCCACAAGGTTCCACAGCAACCGTTGCTCAGAGCCAGGCGGACGTTGTGATACTGGCTTCTGCCGACCATGCACCTAGGTGGCCAAGCTGTGACACATCAGACCAGCAGGCTGCTGATACGAGTGGGGCGGTCTAGACATACACCATCGTTGGAAGAGCTTGCGTTGCCAAACAGCAGGTTTCCGTTGAGCTCCGAACCATGCAGTGTGCCA